AAGTGCCAATTAGCAGAAAGGCCTTAGAGAGCCAGATACTGCTGCCAGAGAACATGAAGTTACACCCAAGTGTTGCCAGGACTGTGGTGCCGGCTGGCTTTTCATCAGTGCACTGCAGCCTGTGGAATGAGAAGGCTTGGGGTCTTGGGGACCTATCCTTTCAGGTGGAGACAGGATCAGAGGGCCAGGGAAATGATATTAGTGCCCTAATATCGCTTATTTCTCTCCTAGCCACAGGACAGATGTGGCTACAGGGGGACGTTTCTGAAAACCAGGCCCAAAGTCTGTTACAACAGCTCACAACATCTCAACACTGGATCAATTAACTCACAGCCTCCATAGATTTCTCATGAGGAATTTTTCTGGAAAGAACATGACCTTGAGAACTGGAGTGGGGACATGTGTGCAGATTCTGACAAAGTCCAGTACCTTGAATGCCCAAATCACTACTAGCCAAAGCAGCTTTTCCCCTCATTGTTCTGAGAACAGTAGCCACCTTGTATTTGAGAATCCTGTAATGATCTCAAGAGTTTCTGATTTTCTACAAGACCAGTACACATCACCACTACTCAACAGCAGTCCCAGGAGAGCAGAGAGAGCCAAGACTGGATGGCTACAAGGAGGATGGGAAATTTTTCAGTAGATTACACAGAAACTGGGCATACAGGTGGACTGGAAACTATGGGATGCACATGCAGGTCTAACCTAGGAAGGAATCAACATGCTGAGGGGCTTTACCCAAGTTATCAGTATAGGTAAGCTGACCAGAGATGATACGGACACAATGTGTTTCTCTAGCATCTGCAAGCACCCCTTGGGCTGAGTCTTGAGGGCAACATCCCTCTGACTAGGATGCTGCACTTATTCATGGTCACAAAGATGGGCCCAGGATAGTGCTGAATCAGGAACAGGGACTTTCTTCCCACCTGTTCCAAGTAGACCCAATCACCACCAAATGTTGAGTGGAAAAGCAAAGGTTTATTGAATACTGATACCCAAGGAGATAGAGAGACTCACTTCTTTAAAATATCTATCTCCTTGAGCTGAGAAAACATCGGGGTTTTCAAAGAGCATAGGTCTAACAGGTAGGGCAGTTTGGGGGATGCTGGTAATGTCTTTTTCTCATTTTTGGGATGACTCATCTCTTCCTTTTGAACTTTCCAGGCCTCTGGGACCTCCAATAATTTCTCTATTTCCTAATTCCTGGGTGTGTAGTAGAGCTAACAAGGGACAACGTTGTAGTCACTTCTTGGGCACAGCCACCTACCCAGAGGGAATTAGTAGTTGGACATGTGGGCTGGGGACTATAGTCACAGGGGACATCAAGCTCAATGGCACAACATACTACACTAATATTGCTGCACATCCTAATCTGGCGAGTAGTGAGGGGGATCTTAAAAGCTTGCGAACAGCCATCTAGATGCAACAATGGGTCTCTCCTCACCCAGAGCAAAGAAGAATGAAGAAAACCAAAGATTCATGGAAACAATTAGTCCAAGTGACTGGTACACCATGCGATCCTCAGCCTGTACGACCATGAGAAGAGAACTAATGGTGTCCGGCTACCACAGACAATCACTCGGAGGGGGATCTTTGAAGGGGATCCTGGATAGAGTGGGAGAACAATGTGGAGAAAAATTAAAAATCATTTTAAAAAAAGGGATCAGTGCTGGTTTGTTTGCTGATCTGATAGAGACTATGACCCTTGGTTCCCTTCAGGTCTGGAATTGAACACAGTCCTGTGGCTTTCACTCAAATAAAAGACAAGCACATCAACTGAACATTTACATTAGGTGGATACAGTCATTGGAGAGAACAGTCATGGGAGAATAGAAGGGCTGTGTATGCACAGGGAGACAGCTCAGAGGGCAGGAGTGCATGGAAAGAAAGACAGGGGGAAGAGGTAACTGTGGGGAGGAAGTGAATGGTGAGGTGTTGCATTGTGGGAAATTTCAGTCAATGTCATGAGACAAAGTGTATGTGAGCTGCTGTATGGAGAGTGAATTTGTTCTGTAAACTTTCACCCAAATCACAATTTAGAAAAAGAAAGAAAGAAAAAAAGAATAATATAATGGGGAAAAAAAAAAGGAATGTCTCTGTTTCCTCTTTATCTTGGTTCCTGCAAACTTGGTATCTCTTTCTCAGTCTTGTCTTATCCCATAAACCTCAGTGATCAGCTGAAACCGTGGGTATAAGCCATATGCTCAAAGGAATATGTAAGCAGAAAAAACAACCCTAAAGGAATTATTGTCTCTGAAAAAGTCAGCTATTTTATTTATGTAAAGGGAAGGAGCAGGAAAAAAAAAAAAAAAAAACCTAGAAAACAAATCTTTGTGATTAATGCCTGCTTCCATCATCACTGGTAGTTTGAACACTGCTGTAATTTCTCAGCAAATGGCTTCCCTGGTCTGTCAACAGTGCCAGAGAGGCCAGAGGAAAGCCACCCTTGGAAGCCAGAGACAGGGACCACAAAGACAAAGCTTTCCTCCTGAGGCCGGTTTTGCGGATGGCTCAGGTGGGTGTGAAGAGGACCTGGCTGGAGAGTCTGAGCAGGACCAGGGCTCAAAGCCATCCTGGGACATTGCACTCACAGCCAGAGTAGTTGGAGGTGCCCATGGGGCTTGGGTGAGAGGCCCTGGGAACCCAGCCCGCAGGCAGAAAGGGGAGGATATAGCCATCATGTGACTCCTGGGGCTCCGGCCTGCCCCCCAGGCTCCTCTGCATCCATGGGCACCACTCCTCCCCCATACGCCCACGTGAGAGGCCCTAGTGTATCTGGACTCCCCCATAGACTCTGAGGCAGAAATCACCCAGACGAAAGGGGAACTTTAGGAAGCAAGCTGTGCTAGCCAGGTTTCAATCCCATTCTTAGTCATTGGTGTAGTTCACACATCAGGGGTCATGGCCCCCCCTTGGCTGGGGCCAGCTCAAGACGCTAGCTTGGGGAGTCAGCTGGGCAGGGAGGAGCAGGCTGCAGAGGAGAGAGCGTCAGAGCCAAGGGAGAGGAGGTGGAGGGGCATCTGTGGGAGCTGCCAGACGTGGGCAGTGAAATGGCCACGAGGAGGATCTAGGATGAGCAGAGGAGAGACCAGACCCTCGGAGTCCATGGCCATGCTTGCTCAGGCTGAGTGACTGGTCACCTGGGGCGGAGGCTGGCCACTGCAGCGCTGAAGGAGCCACGGCAGGGGAACAGCCCCAACAGAGCTGTGTGCAGGGTGCAGGTGGTCAGGCTTCATGGGGCCCTGGGCCCTTGGAGACAGTGCTAGGATGGGTGGACAGAAGCTTGAGGGTGGCCATCTCTAAGATGGACTGGGGGACAGGGAGAGCCATCTGGGGCTGAAATGGACACAAGGAGGGATGGGGCAGGTGGGAACAGATGGTACAACAATGGGGCTGGCTCAGCACAGGGGAGCTCCCCAACACACACAAGTGGCCAGAGGGTCTAGTCCAGACCCATGGACCGGACACCAGATCAGGGTCTGAGGAGGTGACAGGAGCATACTAGGCTGCAGCCAGAGAGAGAGCAGGAGGGGGTAAGATAAGGGTTCTGAAAGCTGGGTGCTGGGAGCTGAGGGCTAGGAGTTGGAGCTAGGAACTAGGACCTGGATGCTGAGAGTTGGGTGTTGGAAGCTGGGGGTTAGGAGCTGGAACTGGGGGCTGGAAGCTGAGGGCTGGGAGCTGGGGCTACAAACTGGGTCTGGGTACTCAGAGCTGGGTCCTGGGAGCTGGGTGCTGAGAGTTGAGGGCTGGGAGCTGGGGTTACAAACTGGATCTGGGTGCTGAGAGCTCTGTGTTGGGAGCTGGGTGGTGGGGGCTGGAGCTAGGGTCTACAAACTGGGTGCTGAGAGCTGGGTACTTGGAGCTGGGGATAGGAGCTGGGTGCTGGGTTCTGGGTACTGGTGCTAGGGGCTGGGGCTGGGTGCTGAGAGCTGGTTGTTGTGAGCTGGAGCTAGGGGCTTGAAGCTAGGTTTTGGGAGCTGGAGGTAGGTGCTGGGAGCTAGCTAGGTACTGGTAGATGGGGCTGTCAGCTGAGAGCTGGAGTTAGGGGGTAGAATATGGGTTCTGGGCACCGAGGTCTAGGAGTTGGAGCTAGGGCTGGGAGCTGGGTGCTGAGAGCTGGGTGTTGGAAGGTGAGGACTGGGAGCAGGAACTGTGGGCTGGGAGTTGAGGGCTGGGAGATGGGGCTACAAACTGGATCTGAGTGCTGGGAGATGGGTGCTGGGAGCTGGAGCTAGGGGCTAGAAACAGGGTGCTGAGAGCTGGGTGCTGGGAGCTGGGGCTAGGAGCTGGAAGCTGGGTTCTGCAAGCTGGGGCTAGGGGCTAGGACTGAGTGCTGAGAGCTGGGTGCTTGGAGCTGGGTGTTGGGAGCTGGAACTAGGGACTAGGAGCTGGGTACTGAGAGCTGGGTGTTGGGAGCTGGATGCTGGGAGCTGATGGCTGGGAGCTGGAGGTAGGAGCTGGGAGCTGAGGGCTGAGAGCAGGGTGCTGTGAGCTGTGGCTAGGGACTGGGGATGGGCACTGAGAGCTGGGTGCTGGGAGCTGGGGGTTGAGAGCTGGAGGTATGGGCTTGGAGGTGGGGCTAGGGACTGGGGATGAGTGCTGAGAGATGGGTGCTGAAACCTGGGGTTTGGGAGATGGGGACTGGAAGTTGGAACTTCAGGCTGGGATATGAGGCATGGGAAATGGGGGTTGGAAGCTGTGTGCTGGGAGCTGGAACTGGGGGATAGGAGCTTGGAGTTGGGGCTAGGGGCTGGAGCAAGAAGCTGGGAGCTGGGGGCTGAGAGCCGGCTGCTGAGAGCTGGAGTTAAAGGCTAGGAACTGGATGCTGAAAGCTAGGTGCTGGGAGCTGGGGCTAGGAGCTGGATTCTGAGTTCTGGGGCTAGGGTTGGGTGCTGGGAGCTGGTTGCTGGCAGCTGAGGGCTGGGGGTCAGGAGCTGGGTGCTGGGAGCTGGAACTTGGGGCTTGGAACTGGGAGCTGGGGCTAGGAGCTGGGGGCTGGGGCTAGAGGCTGGGAGCTGGGGGCCGAGAGCTGGCTGCTAGGGGCTGGAGTTAGAGGCCAGGAATTGGATATTGAGAGCTGGGTGCTGGGTGCTGGGACTAGGAGCTAGGAGCTGGATTCTGAGATCTGGGGCTGGGAGCTGGAGCTAGAAGCTGGGAGATGGGGGCTGAGACCTGCCTGCTGGGAGCTAGAGTTAGAGGGTAGGAGTTGGATGATGAGAGCTGGGTGCTGGAGCTGGGGCTAGGAGCTAGGAGCTGAATTCTGAGATCTGGGGCTAGGGGCTGGGGCTGGGTGCTGTGAGATGGGGTTGGGAGCTGGGACTAGGGGCTGGAAGCTAGCTAGGTACTGGGAAGTGGAGGCTGGGGGTTGGAGCTAGGGGCTGGGGATGGGCGCTGAGAACTGGGTGCTGGGAGCTGGGAGTTGAGAGCTGAGGGCTGGGAGCTGGAGCTAGGGGCTGGGAGCTGGGGGCTGAGAGCAGGGTGCTGGGAACTGAGGCTGGGGGCTGGGGCTGGGCGCGGAGAGCGGGGCGCTGGGAGCTGGGAATTGGGAGCTGGGGCTGGGAGCTGGGAGCTGGAGGTAAGGGCTTGGAGCTGGGGCTGAGGACTGAGGATGGGTGCTGGAACCTGGGGGTTGGGAACTGGGGACTGGAGGCTGGAACTGGGGACTGAGAGCTGGCTACTGGGAGCTGGAGTTAGAGGTTAGGGATTGGATGCTGAGAGCTGGGTGCTGGGTGCTGGGGCTAGGAGCTAGGAGCTGGGAGCTGGATTCTGAGATATGGGGCTAAGAGGCTGGGGTTGGGTGCTGGGAGCTGGGGCTAGGAGCTAGGAGCTAGGAGCTAGCTAGGTACTGGGAGGTGTGGACTGGGAGCTGGAGCTAGGGGCTGGGAATGGCCACTGAGAGCTGAGTGCTGGGAGCTGGGGGTTGAAAGCTGGGTGCTGGGAGCTGAGGGCTGGAAGCTAGAGCTAGGGGCTGGGAGCTGGGGGCTGAGAGCAGGGTGCTGTTAGCTGGGACTAGGGGCTGGGGATGGGCACTGAGAGCTGGGTGTTGGGAGCTGGGGACTGGAAGCTAGAACTTCGGGCTGGGATCTGGGGGTTGGGAGCTGGGAGTTGCGGCTAGGAGCTGGGGCTGGAGCAAGAGGCTGGGAGCTGGGGCCTGAGAGCTAGGAGCTAGATTCTGAGATCTGGGGCAATGGACTGGAGCTGGGTGTTGGGAGCTGGGGACTGGAAGCTAGAACTTCGGGCTGGGATCTGGGGGTTGGGAGCTGGGAGTTGCGGCTAGGAGCTGGGGCTGGAGCAAGAGGCTGGGAGCTGGGGCCTGAGAGCTAGGAGCTAGATTCTGAGATCTGGGGCAATGGACTGGAGCTGGGTGTTGGGAGCTGGGGACTGGAAGCTAGAACTTCGGGCTGGGATCTGGGGGTTGGGAGCTGGGAGTTGCGGCTAGGAGCTGGGGCTGGAGCAAGAGGCTGGGAGCTGGGGCCTGAGAGCTAGGAGCTAGATTCTGAGATCTGGGGCAATGGACTGGAGCTGGGTGTTGGGAGCTGAGGGCTGGGAGCTGGGTCTAGGGCCTTTGGAGTTGGGTTATGAAAGCTAGGGACTGGAAGCTGAGAGCTGGGTTCTGGGAGCTGAGTGCTAAGAGCTTGATGCTAGGGGCTGGGGGCTGGGGGCTGGGGCTAGTGCCTGGGATCTGGGTGCTTAGAGCTGGGGCATGGGACTGCGAGATGGGGCTAGAGGATAGGGCTGAGTGCTGAGAGCTGAGTGTTGGGAGCTGGGGCTGGGAGCTGAAGCTGGAGGCTGGGCCTGAGTGCTGAGGGCTGGATTTTGGGAGCTGGGTGCTGGGAACTGGGTGCTGAGAGCTGGGCGTGGATAGCTAGGGGCTAGGAACTAGAGCTAGGGCCTGGGAGCTGGGAGCTGGGGCTAGGGGCTTGGATCTGGGTGCTGAGTTCTGGGTACTGGGTACTGGTTGCTGGGTGCTGGGTGATGGGAGCTAGAGCTAGGGGCTGGGGCTGAGTGCTGAGAGCTGGGTATTGGGAGCTGTGGCTGGGGGCTGGGATTTGGGTGCTGAGAGCTGGGTGTGGAGAGCTACAGCCTGAGAGCTGGGGCTGGGGGCTGGGATCTGGGGGCTGAGTTCTGGGTACTGGGTGCTGGGTGCTGGTAGCTGGAACTAGGGGCTGAGGCTAAGGGCTGAGAGCTGGGTGTTGGGAGCTGTAGGCGGGGAGCTGGAACTAGGGGATGGGGTCTAGGTGCTGAGAGCTCGGTGTGGAGAGCTAGGGGCTAGGAGCTAGAGCCAGGGCCTGGGAACTGGGAACTGAGAGCTGGGGGCTGATGCTGGGTGCTGGGAGCTGGGGATAGGGACTGGGAGCTGAGTGTTCAGAGCTGGGTATTGGGAGATGGCAGCTAGGAGCTAAAGCTAGGGCCTGGGAGCTGGACCTAGGAGCTGGGGCTGAGAGCTGGGGTTGGAATCTGGGGCTAGGGGCTAGGATCCTGGACTGAGAGATTGGGTCTTGTGAGTGAATGATGGGAACAGAGACATGAGAGGTGGGGGCAAGGGGCTAGGAGCTAGGAAGTTAGAGCACAGGTGTTAAGCCTAGGAGTTGCCGCTAGGAACCGAGAGCTGAGCTGTGAGAGCTAGGAGTTGAGAGCTGAGGGCTGAGGGCTGAGATCTGGGGCTAGGGGCTGGGAGCCTGGTCTGAGAGCTAGGGATGGTGGATGACTGCTGGGAGCTGAGAGGTATATACTAGATCTGGGAACTGGTGCTAGAAGCTCAGAACTGAGGACTAGGCCCTGGGATCAGGGTGGTAAAAGGTGAGAGCAGAGATCTGGGGGGTGGGGACTAGGAGTTTGGTGCTAAGAGGTAGGGCTGGGTGTTGGGTGTTAGGAGTTGGGTGTAAGGGCTGTGGCTGGGAGCAGAGGTCTAGGTTTGGCAGTGGGAGCTGGAGCTAGAAGGTGAGAGCTGGTGGATGGGGACTAGAAGCTGAGAGCCAAGGGCTGGGGGCTGAAAGATGGTGACTGGGAGCTGGAGGCTAGGCACTGAGAGCTGGGGGCTGGGGGCTGGGAACTGTAGGGTTAGGGGCTAGGGGCAGGTAGCTGAGAAGTATTGGTTGAGGGTAGGGAGCCGACGGCTAGCAATAGGACCTTTGAAGTAAAGGCTGTGAACTAGTTGCTAGGGGCTGAGAGTGAGGGGCAGGGAGATAAGGGCTGAGAACTAAGGGCTGGAGATTGGGGTTTGGGAGCTGAGAGCAAGGAACAATTAGGGGCTGGGTGCAAGGAGCAGTTTGCTGTGAC